CTCGCTCCAGCCCAGCTGTGGGGCTGGTGGTGGAGCGGGGCCCTCCAGGCAGCTGGCTGCCCGTGCCCCTGCCAACTGCCCCAGCTCCTCGCTCCACTCCTGCAGGAATGAGCATGAGCCACCCAGGGAACAGCCCAAGGGCGTGTGGGGACCACCAAGATGCTCAGTCCAGGAGGTGACTGAGGGACATCAGAGGGTCGACAATGGGTGATGCTGCAAGGGAGCCCTGAGGACCAGTCCTGCCCTCGTGTGGGCTGCTGGGAGGTGATGGAGGGATGTTGAGGACCACCACAGGACATGGGAGACACACGGAGGGACCAGCCCTGCTTTGGTGTGTTCAGATGTGAGATGGTTGGGGAATATCAAGGACCATCATGTGGAATGGGGAACCCCATAAAGGGCTCCAAAGAACCAGCCCTGCTGTGTCCTTGGTGTGTGCAGGTGTGAGGTGATTAGGAGGCACCAGAGGGACATGGGAGATCCCAAAAGGCACCTCAAGGGACCAGCACTGCTTTTGGTGTGTCCTGGATGTGGCAGTGCCAGTGGCATGCTCTTCCCCAGGGGCCCTACACCAGCCAGCTCTACTGCTTCATTAGAGAGTTAGCAAACTGCTGCACTACTCCACATGGGCTGTCCTCCTCCCTGGACATGGGGTGGAAGGTGGGGGACACTGGACCTTCAAGGGGGCTCACCAGCTTCTGCATGTTGGCAGCAGGAGGCTGCACTTTGCTCCTCAACTTGTTGTGCAGTGAGAGCACCAGGAAGGTCTCCTTCGTGCTGAGAGCTGGGGAGGACAGCAGGGGACAGGGGGCTGAGGGGAACAGGTGCCCTCCCCGTATCCCTGGCTGTGGCCGATCCCCTCAGAGGACCGTGGGAATTCCCCCTGAAGGGTCTGCCCGCAGCCGGGGATACCGGGAAGGCACCCGGGTCTCCATGGAGACTTGAGAGGAGAGAAGAAAGAGCTTTTGGGCTGGGAGCACAAAAGGGGCAAGAGGCCGAGGGGGGGAGCAGCCCGCTGGGCCCCCGTCTCACACGGGTGGGCTGAGTCTGCCAGGAATGTACCCTCTCTGCCCCCCTGCCTCTGTCCTGCCGGGATCCAGACCCCACTGGGCAAGACCTATCACTAACCCCCATCACCAGCTGCAGGACCCCCAGACCCATTCCATCACTAGCTCCATCCCATTGCCATCCCCAGAGACACCTTGGTTCCCTTGAAACACCAGCCCCAGAGCCCCCCAGCTCCATCCCGTCGCCAAGTCCATGCCCCTTCTCCCAGCCCCATTCCATCCTCAGCCCCCATCACCCACCAAGCCCCTCACCGCCGTCCCTGGGTGCCCATCACCCACCCGGTTCCCCGCACATCTGGTCTGGCCCAATGGGACGGTGCTCAGGGTGCACCCACCCCCCAAACCAGCTGCCTCCCCGCCCTGCTGCCGGAGAGGCAGCCCCTCTATCGGTTACCTCCCGGAGCCAGCGGGGACAACTTTTCTGGAGCATCCGACCTCGTCTCACCCACCCTCCACACCAGGAGGCTGCAAAGCAGCAGGACCAAGAGCTTCATGTAGGTCCTGGGATGGGGGAGCGGACCCCCAAGCTCCGGAGGGAGGACTGGGGCCAGCCGAGCCGCCCCGCAGCAGCTCCGGCTCTGGGGCGAGCCCGGCCGCGCTCTCCTGCGTGCGTGTGTGTGTGTCTGGTTGCAGGATTTGATCCTATTCAGGACTCCAGACAGGCACCGCTGGGCAGCGGGAACAAAAGCTTGACGGGTGAGTAATAGCTCTGTCAAAACAGTTGCTCGCTGGAGCGAACGTGGCAGACAACTCCCGGGGCCCCGGGCTGCAGCCCCGCCGGGATGTCCCGCAGTGGGGTCAGCGCTCCGTGCTCTGCCCCAGCCCCGCCGCCGAGCCGGGGTCGGGGTGTGGAGGCAGCGTGAGCAGGGGTCGCAAGCGGCACACCCGCTTTGGGACACTGGGAGACTGGAGGCCAAGGGGCCGGGGCAGCAGCGGGGCCCCTGCTGCCAGCCTTCCTCCTGCCCCATGAATTAAACATGCCGGGGAGGTAACACACACCGCTGCGGGCGTGAAGCCAAATACCCGCTCCGGAGAGCTGGGCAGCGTGCTTACAGGGTGGGAGGATGTGAGAGCCGGGGGGCCGGCGGCGGGAGAGATACTGGGCCCAAGGGGGGCCGAGTCTCGGCAGCCACCTGGAGTCAAGCAGGGGTCCCTGCCCAGGCTGCCCAGGGAGCTCAACTGCACCATGAGAGCTCTGCCCCAGCACAGGGGTCCCAGAACCCATGCCAGGTGCTCCCCTGGCACAGGGCATAGATGTGGGCATCCCTGCTCAGGAGTCTGGAATGCCACAGGCAGGAGGGACTGGGAGCATCCTACCCACCAGCTGTCAGGGCTGAGCTGGGTGTCACCATAAACCCAGCTCTGAATGCTTCAGTTCTCTCAGCCTGAGTCTAAACCTGACCCTGGCCTGAACCCTGGCACTAATGCTGATGCCAACCTCAACTCTCATGCAAACCTTCCTACTAATATGGATCGGAACCCTTGGTGCTGATACTAACGCTAGCATTAACCCTAACAAGAAACCTAACTTTAGCCCTAGCCCTGACAATTACTTTAATGCTAATCAAATCATTAAACCTAATGCTAACACCAAACCTAACACTAATGTTAACCTTAACTCTAATCCTAACACCAATTCTAATCCTAACCCTAATCCTAACCTCATCCCTAGCCCTATTGCTGCTCTAACATTAACCCTGACCCTTATGTTAATGTGGACCATAACTCCAACATCACCCCAGCTCCAGGCTGCAGCAGCACCCTGGGGTTCCCCCCTGAACTCCAGCCAGGGCTGAGCTCACCCCAGCAAAGCTGTGCTGAGTCCAATGAGTCTGCAGCATTCCTGGGCTACCCCTCCCAGCAGCCCCAGCCCCACCAGAGAGCAGAACACCCGCACAAACCCCAAAGTCATCTTTTCTCCCAGGAGACTTTCCCAGGCTTAGCTAGTGCATGGGATTAGCCTCATCCTGCATCTCTGCATGCCGGGGAGCCCCAGAGCCAGGACTGGCCGTGTGGTGAGCCCAGCACCGCTGGTACCACTGTAAGTGCCGTGACAGCCACCGCCTGGCCCCAATATCTGGGACATGAAAGGCCCCAAAGCCTCTGATGTGCAGAGGGAAAGGAACGGAAGGGAAGGGAGAGGCTAGAGTCAGTGCCAAGGGGAAACTTTCCTACAGCTCAGCCTCAGGCAAGGGAAAAACCAACAAACACAAGGGCACAGGCTGCAGATAAATCCCAGTGAGCGCAGAACACAGCTGTGAGCAGAAACGGACCGTCAGCGTCTTGCCCCTCTAGTCAGCCCCAGCGTGATGCTCCTCATCCCACTGCCAGCCTGGCTGGCTCTGGGCATCCTGCAGCTGCCCCTTGGCAATTTCCAGGTAAGGATCTGCTTTCCCTCCTCTCCAGCCCCACAGAAGCCCTCTGAGGGCTGCTCAGCATCCACCTCTCACACCCCAGCACCTGACACCAGCCCAGAGTGGGGGTACGGCACAGCCACAGCACCTGTGGAGCTTCCAGGGCCAGAGGGATGGTTATGGGGCTTTTCCCCTGCAGCAGTGAAATGATGTTAAATGGGCACAGGGCATGCAGCTTCTCCACATCATCCATGTGCCAGAGCAGGACCAGAAGGTGGGGGCTGAGGCTGAAGCCGACATGGAGCCATGGTCAGACCCCAGCCAGGATGGGAAGGGGTTCTGTCCAGGACAGGAGATACAAATCAACCCCCAAGATACTGCCTGCTTGGAAGGGTCCTCCCAGGCTGTGGCAGAGTGGCAGGGGAACCCAGCAGTGATTGGGGTGTCCCCATGATCCCCCAGGAATGCCTGAACCGGCAGCAGGCACTCAGCGTGGTGCAGCAAATGCAGAAGCTGCTGGTGGCACAGGAGGCCGCCCACCTGCAGGGCACACGCGGGCTCCGGCACCAGCTTTCCATCCTCCAGAGCCGCCTCCAGAGACCAGCCACCAAGCACAATGGTAATCCTGGCTGGTCACCACCATGGGTGACATCCCCACGGGGCCAGCTCTGATCCCTGGAGCCACACAAACAGCCTGGGCAGTTTGGGCAGGGGACCCCCCAGCTCCCTGTCAGGCTGGGGTTGGCTCCAGGCTGGCAATGTCCATCCCCACTGATGTCTGTCTGTCCACAGAGATGTGTCCGCAGCTGGCAGTGCCCCTGAACGGACGGATGCTGGGCCGGAGCCTGCGGGTGGGCCACGAGGTTCACTTTGTCTGCGACGCCGGCTTCCAGCTGGTGGGCTCGGAGACGCGCGCGTGCCGGCAAAACCGCACGTGGAGCGGCACCCAACCCTTCTGCAGAAGTGAGTGGAGTGGGACTGGGGTGCCTTGCTCTGCCCTTCCGAGGGGCTCCTCTGTCACCCTGAGCTGTGGGGTGGCATTGCTGTGCCCAGAGGTTGCAGCAACGGGCACCGGAATTGGGCAAGGATGCATTTGTGCAGCTGATGCTCACGAGCTCCTTCTCCCTAGGTATTGATGACTGCTCCAGCAACCCGTGTGCCAACAGCGGGACCTGCGTGGATGGCAACCAGAGCTACACATGCCTCTGCCCCCCAGGCTGGTCAGGCCCCAGCTGCCAGAGCCCCATCTACTCCTGTAGGTGCCTGGGTTTGGGCTGTGGAGGACGGGGATTCTCATGGGGACAGTACCTGGCGATGCCGTGCCTGTCTCCCCCTTCCCTGGCAGCCTCCTGGAACCTTGGCCCCCACCACCTCCCCATGCCCCAGCATGTGACACCTGCTGTCCCCTGCAGACTGGGTGACTCTGAGCAACACCTCCTTCAGCCGCCAGCCCCGCTGTGCCGAGGGCCGCTCGGGCTCCCGGCGCTGCAGCTGTGACACCGGCTTCCAGCTGCAACCTGGTGGCGTGTGCCAAGGTAAAAGGAGGGTGAAGATGATGAAGCAGGGGAACCAAGGCTTGGTGGCAATGGGACCTCTGGCCATTCCCCACTTTGTCCACCCTAGATGTGGATGAATGCCAGCTCTACCAGTCCAGCCCCCAGACGCAGATTTGCCTCCATGACTGTCTCAACCTCCCTGGCTCCTATCGCTGCCTCTGCCCCCCTGGGTATCTGCTCCATGCTGACCGCAATGCCTGTGAGGGTAAGAAGCCAGGATTCAGGGCAGGGAGCCACTCATGGGAAGAGGAGTGCAGTGGGGATAGCCTCACTCACCCCATGTCACCACCACAGATGTGAATGAATGTACTGGGAAGCAGCACAACTGCAGCCAGGGTGACCTCTGCATCAACACCTTTGGGGGACACCGCTGCGTGCGCCCCAAGTGCCCCCCGCCACGCCACAACACCAGCTATGTCAAGACCTCTGCCTTGTGAGTACCATACTGTGTGTGGCTTGGGCTGCATCGTGCCCTGTCCCAGGGTGACGGGTCCTATTGTGTGCTGGGGGCTGTATTGTGTCACCCAGGGCAGCCGGGAGAGTGCCAGCCAGCACTGGTAGCAAGTTGCCCCATGGCGTGTTCAGGTGTGCTTGGCATGCTCCCTGATGGTCTTGGGATGCTGGGGATGCAGGTGGGAGCACCCCAGTACATGGGGGCTTTATCCAGGATCCTGGCCCCTCTCACAGCCCCAGCCTGGGGGGAATGATGCTGATTTTCCTCTGCTGCACATCCATGTGTTGCCATCTGCTGCCTTCCAGCAGTCCCAGCCATCCCACTCTTGAGATTAAACTTCTTTGTGCCACCCACATAGAGGACCCCTGATCCTGACAGATTCCTCTTCAGGAGGCACATCTGGCTCTATCCCTGGCCTTCAGCTGGGACTGTGGCACCCACCCAGTCCCAGCCTCCAAGTGTCACCCAGAGCTGTGTCCCTGCAAGCCATGGCACTCGCCTGGCAGAAACAGGGATGAGGCAGAGATACGATTTTGGGCACACTTGGATGTGTCTTTCTTGGGTTGCTGTGCCACAGGACAGACTGCAGGGCTGGGGGTGCTGCCTGTGACATGGGCTGTGCTTGTGTGCAAGGATGAGAGCAGCCCCCTGAGAGCCAAACCATGACACTGAGCGGTGGCACCTTTCTCTCCTGGCAGCCAGTGCGAGAGGAACCCCTGCCCCATGGACAGCAGAGCCTGCCAGCTGGCTGCCAGCTCCATCTCCTTCCACTACCTGCCGCTCCAGGCCAACCGCACTGTGCCCCGTGTCCTCTTCAAGATGTCCACCACCCGCGTCGTGGGTGACAGCCTGCGCTTCGCCATCACGGGCGGACGGGGCCAGGGCGTCTTCGCCGTGCGGCGCTCGGACCGGCAGACGGGAGAGCTGCTGCTCACCAGCCCTGTGGCAGGGCCAGCCACGCTGGAAGTGGAGCTGGAGATGAGCGAGTTCTCCCACAAAGTCCTCCTGGGCAAGCACATCTTCAAGGTCACAGCTTTTGTGTCCCCATATGTGTTTTGATTCCCTTTAGAGGCAGGTGTGGGGCCATGCCAGGGCCTCTCAATGGAGCAGGTTCAGCTCAGTGGTCCCAGTTTTTGTCCCATTGGAGCTATCCCTCTCCCATAATACTTTCTCATAGCCATCACAGCAAAAACTGTCCCTCTAGGAAAAACCCCATGGCCAATGGAAAGATCAGCCTGGGGGTGCCTACCTCTGCCAACCCCCTTCCTCTCTGCTCACATGGCACACGGAGGGGAAAGACAGAGTGAGCCAGCAGCACTTGGCATGCAGATTCATCTTGTATCTTGTAATCTCTAATAAAAAAAAAAGTGGCTGTAGGAAGGGTATTGTTCTTTCTCCATATTTTGTCCTCCTGGGCTAAGGCTCCTGGAGACAGCTGGTGTGCTAATGGCAGGGTCACCTTTCAGAGCTTGGGATGTCAATAGAGCTACCAAGCCCATCCAGGGTCATGCAGAGTCTAAGTCCCTTCCAGCACCACTGTCCTTGGGGCCACACTGAAGAATTCCCCTGCATAAAAATGGGGGATGGGCTAAACAGAGAGTCACAGAATGGTTTGAGTTGGAAGGGATCATCTTGTGCCAGCTCCCCTGCCACAGGCAGGCACAATTTCCAGCATGCTGCCCTGAACATCCTGCACAGCCAAGACTGTCCTCAGCTGCCTTGGCGGTGCCTGGAAAGTGCAGCAGGGCTCCCTGGCGCTGGTGAGCAGGGGATGATGACAGAGGCTGTGCTTCCTTGTGTCCAGGAGAATTCCCTCTGCAGCAGCTCTGACAGGAGCCGAGCACATGGCTGGTCAAAACTGCAGCTCCCCAGCTCGCCAAGCACTCGAGCTGTCCCCCTGCACCCATCTCAAGGAGGGTGGGCTGTGAGAACAAACGGGGCGCAGCGCTCCACACTCCGTGGGTACCCCCTGTCACCGCCAGCATGGCCAGACCCCTGGGCAGGGAGAGCAGCCGGGGGTTGAAAAGGTGACAAGGGCCTTTGGGGACAGCGAGCGAAGGACACGCCGCCTCCGGGACGCCCTTCACTGCACACACAGAACCCTTCTTAGGTGAGTGTGCAGCCAGAGCCCCTCGCACAAAGCAGCCGCTGTGCGCGGCCCGCGGGCGGCCCATAAAGAGCTCCTTATCCCCGGGCGGCGGAGCCAGCTCCGCACGGCTGCTCCGCTGCACGGGGCGGAAAACCCTCCCCAGGGATAGCAGAGGTGCGGGCTGGGCCGGGGGGCGGCAGGGCCGCCTCACCAACACCCACAGCTGGCCCGTGCCCACTGCGGCGGGCTGGGACGCAAAGTCGGAAATTAGGGGGTAAATATTTATCCCTGTACATAAGGTTGTCCCAGCCAAAATGGACACCACAAACGAGGTTCTTGCGCAGGTTTTCTTCTGCACTTGAAACCTTCAGGTACCACTGGATTAGTCACTAACACATCAGTGACCGCTAAGGACAATAAAGGTTTGTAAAGTTCACTAGGAGAAGGACACGGAGGTGGTGTAGCGAGCCCAGAGAAGGGCAGCGGAGCTGGGGAAGGTTTGAAGCACAAGTCTGATGAGGAGCTGATGAGGGAGCTGGGAGGGCTCAGCCTGGAGAAAAGGAGGCTCAGGGGGGACCTTATCACTCAGCAGCTCCCTCACAGGAGGGTGGAGCCGGGGGGGTCGGGTTCTTCTCCCAGGTAACAAATGATAGGACAAGAGGAAACAGCCTCAAGTTGTGCTGTACTGTAACCCAAGAACAAGGTTTAACTTAGATTTTAGGGAAAATTTCTTCATGGAAAAGGTGGCTGGGACAGGCTGTCAGACAGTGGTGAAACCATCATCCCTGGAGGTGCTCATAAGGTGTGTGGATGTGGTACCTGGGGACATGGTTTGGTGGTGGACAAAGCAGTTCTGGGTTAGTGGTTGGACTCGATGATCTTGGAGATCTTTTCCAACCTTACTGCTTCTGTGATTCTGTTTTCCCAGTGTTCTTGCTGCTTGTCTGATGATGCACTAAAATGAAATGGTTGCAGCACCAAACCTGCCAGACTTCAGGAAGCATTTGCACAATGCTCTCAGACACATGGTGTGATTTTTGGGGTAGTCCTGTGCAGGGTCAGGAGTTGGATTTGATGTTCCTTGTGGATCCCTTCCAACTCAGGATAATCTCTGAATCCATGATCCAGGCATCCCTGGAATCTGTCTTGCTGGAGTTACTGATGCCAGACAACGCTAGGAGGGTTTCAAATCCATCAAATGCAATGTTATCCTGGTTGCCCAGGAATATCCTTATCACTGATAAGGCAATCCTTAGTTCCATGTCCTTTACTTTGTTTTACTTAAGCACAGACCACAGCAAAACCTCCAGTAAAATTCCAAACTCCCCAGTAATATTCTGCAACCTCATTATGTCACAATGTAAATCTGAATATATATACAAATAAAACCCAAAAATACTACATTTTCATGCTATAAAGGTAGGTCGATTTAATATGGAATTAAATTATAATAATAATTTAATAATATACAATAAATGTCCCCGGTGAACGATCGCGCCCGGCGCGTTTTGCCCCCTGCGCGTCGCCGTAGCTGTTGCTATGGCGACGGGCCCAGCGGCCCGAGGCCCGCGGAGGTGCCGGGAGCTGCCGTGGAGGCCTCAGCCGGGGGCCCCCCGCCCTGCCTGGGCATGAGGCGGGGCCGGGGCCGCTGTCAACCGCTTCTGCGGGGAGAAGGTGAGGGGTGGGAGGCGGTGGAGTGCAGGAGGGGTCTACGCGGCTCTCATCAGAGTGGCTGCCCGGGAAACCGCTCACCCGGCTCGGTCCTTGATGTCGGCTCTTGCGTCCCGGTGCCTCTCTGTCTACCCCGAAAGTGACTTTATGCTCTGTGTTTTATATTCAGTGTTTTCTGGAACTGGATATAAAGGCGTGCGGGCCATACCCACTGCGGGCTTTGTAACAGGTAGCTCAAAGTGATGCACAAACAAGTTTTCAACAGCCTAATGAAAAAAAGGATGACATGATTGGTAATGATTTCTCATCAGTGATGAGCCACTTGCCATGTAGCAACTTAAATGATGAATGCAGGCAGATACTGCTAATTACTTCAAAGGGTGAAGTTAGGAATTTTTTATTCCAGCCTACTTGTTGATAAGACCGTGATGCACTGATGAACATAAATTATATTTTCTGCTAGTCTTACTCCTCTACCAGCTGACCCAAAAAGACATTTCCAGCCCTTTGCCAGGGACTGAAGGGCTGTTTGCATACCAACATTGGAATTGTCTTGCTCACTCTTTCAGCACATTGCCGTGCTTGCTCTCTTCCAGCCCTGTGGAATTCTTCTGGCACTGGAACCATTATCAAAAATACCACAAGTGAACCAGATACCTCCTTTTCTTTCATCACTCTCCTGTGCATGTTAATCAAACTAATTGAAGTTGTTTGTCATGTTAGATGTTAATTTCACATCCTCTTTAGTTACTGAGGAAGGATGAGAGTGGTGCAGAGGTACCTTGAGTCACCTCAGGTCCAGCAGAGCTCCTCTGTTGGTTTTGTGATGCTGCCCCTGATCAACTGCCTGGTTTGCTCTCTCTGCTACCTCAAGTTTTTTGTGAAGCAGAGCAGCACAACTCTCTGTTGTTAGAAACTCTCCTGGCCCTGTGGCAAGTGAAAAGCAGCAGCTAATAATCCACCAAAAACTGAAAAAAGGAGAAACTGCTTGTGAGCTCAGAGCTGTTTCTCTTCACATGTGTGTCATCATTTTAGTCTCTAACTTAGTCTGCCTTGGAGAATCTCTCCAGCACCAGATACATAGTATCACATCTTTTTGTTTTCCATTTTTTATTTCTGTAGATGAATATCTGCAATAAACCTCATAATAAGATAGTTCCAGAGGATTTGGGTGAAGCTGTTCCTGAGGTGAAGGTCCAACGTGCTCGAAGAAATGGCTGGAGCTGGCCCCTACACCTGTTCCAGATCATTGCCTGGCTGCTGTTCCTCTTCTTTGCGCTGGTTGGCTTTGGAATCCTGGTTCCTCTCCTGCCCCGCCACTGGCTGCCCGCTGGTTACATCGTATCCTTGGATATCTTGGATGGGGAGAACATGGGCTGGTACAAACCATCACTGAGGGGGTTTAACTGCACTTGTTAGGTAGCGCAGGAAGCATCGGAGAAAAGTGCCTGAGCCAGAATATTTCTCTGAACGTAACCATCATCTTGATCATCTCCTGACTATAAAAAACAGGTGTAAAAAGCAGGTCTCCTGCTTTGAGAGCCTCACTTTAGGTCACTGATGTTCTGCTTGTCTCCTTCATCAGTCTCCATTAAGATTGCTACCTTTGCCTCCAATGCTCTTCTGCTGCCTGCTTCTGTCCATGTGTCTCCTTTGCTTTATATTATTCTTCTACAAGTGTGCTGCACGGTTTGAAGGAAGTCATACGAAAAAAGCCCCTCCTTAAACATCCTTGTTGTGAAGGCAGCCCCATCTCTCTGTGCTGACTGGATGAGCCATGAAAGGGCAGCTTGACATGCTCGTGGTTGTATGGTTTGTGATGGCTCATGGTGGATGTGCTCCCTGGGCACATCTGTGAGTGATAGACAAGGTGGTGTGGTGTGAGCCTCAGAGGAGAGGTCTCTTATGGGACAGTCTTGAGCAGCAGTTTAGTATACACATCTAAGGAGGACAGTGAAGGGTCTAGAGGAGAAGCAGCTGAGGACACTTGGCTTGTTCAGCCTGGAGCAGTTGGGGAGCGATCCCAGTGCTCCCAGTACTCCCAGTGCCACCTGTACTATCACCTGTGCCCAGGGAAGGAACTTCCTCAAGACCAGACCTTGTTCTAAAGAGATGGGGTGTGCACTTTCATCATTTATACATCTGGCACAGATGCCTCTAAGTCTTTGATATGTTTGGGATGATTTTGCTTATGATTGTTAGAGTTTTTATACCTGCATGATTTAGACATTAATATAATTAGCTCAGTGGTCTTACATCTACTTAGCTTGCTCAAATCCTCACTATTATCACAGTTCAAACCTTGTGAATTTGTCTACCAAATATCTTAATAATGCAAACTAAAGTTACTCTTAATTCAACAGATTAATATTTCCAGTTTTACTTCCAGTTCATAAAGCACTAGTGTCTCTTTTGTGTCAAAGGCAAATCCCCTCCTGATCTGCTCCACCAGCCATCAGAGCTCCAATGAGCTGGACCTCTCAGAGGCCTCCTTCTTTAACTTACTACACTGATCTATCTTCCATGGGTATTAGTATGATCAGTGATGTGCACATCTGGGTGTATAGAAACAATGACAAATCCTGGATCCTTTGTAGAAGCATGCTTTAAAGGTGTGCTCCTCTTCCTTGTGATTCTAAGGAAAAAGAAAGCAAGGTAATCATTACTACGTCCTTGATGTGACCTTTTTTTCCTTGGAAGTCTGGTCCAGTGAAAGGGCGTGTGCACAACCTTAACCACACTCCTTTCCAAGGGGTCTGTATGGACTAAGAAACTTGGATCTATGTCAGCAGTCCGTACTTGTGGTCAGATTCTAGTAAGTAAAGGTAACTTTTAAAAACACCCTGTGCTAGGAGGGACACTTCTGCAAGGCAGAGTTGCACATAATGAGGAGGGATGTTCCTGTAGATTTAGTTATTTTTTTCCAGGGAATATTTATTACAAGGCAAATGTCTCAGTAAAGCTGATTGCTACAGTCAGTTATGTAGCAATTTCTAATTCTATGCCATACATTTCTCATCTGTGTGGGATTCACGTATTAAGGATTCAAAGATGTGTTAAATCCTTAACTGTGTGTTTCAGTGTCCAGGAGTGTGTTTTATCTACCATTTAGTTGTTCATCTTACTGCAGTTTCCATTGATCCTGCAGATGCAAATGTGCGAGAAAAAAACTATCTGGGGCCTCTGTCCACCTTCAACCGTAACCAACACGCACATGTCATTGAGAACCATCACTGCTATGTCTGTGATGTAGATGTGTAAGTATCTTTTCTTTCTACTGCTCTGTGTTCTTCAGCATTGCATTTCACCATTAGTCCTTAATGTCAGACTATAAGATTTGAAACTGAACCCTTGAGGAGATACAGTGCAAGTTAAGCTTCATCCTGTAGCAGGGTTCAGATGGTTGGGTAGGGGCTTTCTGTCAGATGTGCACAGAGTTCTGTGTTTTGTTTCATTGCTTACCTTGTGAGGAGAAGGCTGTAGTGTGCCATGTTTACTAAGTGTTGGTGTTTTACCTAACAGCGTGTAATTAGTGTGTGTGTGTGCCTGTCTCTGGCTGGATGCCGGCCAGTTGCAGGAAATGCTTGGAGGGCAGGCATTAAGATCAAGCTCTGTAGTACTGCTGAAGGGATTCAAATAAGAACTCAACAATCTCCAAATTAAAAATCATGCAGTGCATTCAAAGGTGAATTTTGTAGTGTTTGGGACTGTGGTCCAGTAGTGACAGATAAGTTTGGGAGATGAAGTACTCCTGATGCAGAAGGTTTACTCACTATTATCAGGATCTCTGCTGCTGCATCCACCTGTGTTTGAGTCACTGAAAAATCATAGTAATGAGCTGCCATACTAATGCCACCCTTTTTTGTCAGGAGTGCCAAGTCAAAGCACTGTGGAACTTGCAACAAGTGTGTGTGTGGCTTTGATCATCATTGCAAATGGCTCAACAACTGTGTGGGAGAGAGGAATTACTGGTAAGGGCTTGGCATTGTGACAGAAGCACAACACTGCATCAATGATGTGGCTCCTTCTCTTTCCAAAGTTCTCCTGTATCTCAGTCCAGCCTGTACTTAGCCACACAGAACCATTTTTATTTTATCCCCTGTCTGAATAGAATCAGTCATGAGAAAACTAGATGGAAAATACAAGCATAATCATGACATTCAGATAACCAAGGATAAAATTCCTAAGCTTAGAATGTTGTAGCTGAACATCTGTAAGTAAAAACAGAGATCGTAGAATTATTATTTGGAATTAGCAAAAGCTTACAGGATGTTAATTTGGTGTCAGTGCTTCTGAAATCTGGAGTAGGAATGGAACCATGATGGTGCTGTTCCAGTTTGAAACAATCCACATCTAGATCATGTGCTTTCCCTACAAGACTTGCCAGTTGGCAGGAGTCACAGCAGCATATAGGGATCTCTCATCCATGCAAGGTTTGAGGAAACAATACGGAGACTGTCATTGATGCTTCTCAATTTACTTTCCTGTACTTAAACCCCATGGAAAGCAAAGTGATGTTGTTGCTAGGTGCCATGTTACACTGCCCTCAGATTTTAGAGAGCTTTGTCTGTCCTGGATATACTTGACTGTTTTGTAACCATGGTTGCACTAAAGAGTAACAATTTAGCCTCTCAGAGTAACAAATAATAAGTAAAGCTGTTCACCAGTATCTGTACGATACTGGTGTAAGAAAGCATGACAGTAATTTGAGATAACTGTCTATATCTTTATTAGAGGCTGGGATATTGAATTGTATGTGTGATGTTATTGAAGCCACTGAGACCTCTCCCTTTCCTGGCAGGCTCTTTTTGAATAGTGTGCTGTCTGCCCTTCTGGGCCTGGGGCTTCTGCTGCTCATCGCTTTCTACGTCTTTGTGGAGTTCTTCGTCGACCCCACAGTGCTTCGCTCTGACCAGCACTTTGATGGTACAGCAGTGCTTCACATGAGCATCCTGGGAATCAGCCAGCATATCTTGATGAGGGTTTGGATTCTGTGAGCTCTTCCACAGAGGAGGAACTCCATTCCTTACTGTTTCAATTTGATATTTCTGTTAGGGTACCTCTGCTCAGCTGGATGGAATGTCTTTCCTTACAGAGCTAATTGCTCTTCCTAAAAGCCCTGCAGGCACCAGATTTCTTAGGCCTCCAGTGCATAATGGGTCTGCAGCTACTTTTGAGTTAACAGAATTTCCAGCTGTAAAGTTTATTTAGAGATAATTCATACTCAGACAATCTATTTACCTCCAGCTCTCTTTGTTTTATAGCTTTGAGGAACCACATGGACCGCTGGTTTGTGTTTCTTCCTGCATCTCCTGTTGAGACTCGGGCACCTGCAATTTTGGTGACAGCTGGGATTTTTATTCTTCTGAGCCTAGTGACCATGATCTTATTGGGCCACCTCTTGACCTTTCACATCTATCTCTGTAGGTATTTTGTTCCTGTCATCTGCACCCCCATTTCATTTTTGCTTATCTTCTACTCATCCTGCATTCACTGCGTGTTCACCCATGTCACTAATATACACCTACTATGCAAGATTGCCATTGAAAATGTGCAAAATTGGGATTTAACATTATATTTCTGAGTTCTCCCCTGTACCAGGTAGGCTTATCAGTGCATATGTAATTTGGAGTTCATATTGGGCCTCTGCAGCCATGTTCAAGCTATGTTATCCTGAAACTGAAAGCACATGGAAGGGTTTTGGAGAGGCCAAGTGGATGAACTGGTCAATCTCAGCTTGGTGCCAGGAATGGCAGATTCAGATTGACTCTGCATATGGCCTTTGTGAGTCTCCTCACTGTGCTCCCCAGTACTTCTGTTTTGTGAGGGAGCCGGTGTTTTCCCTTACCCCAGAGAAATGTGGATGTACGGAGCTAAATTTCTGATTGAAGCACTGCCATCCAGATTAAGGTCCCTTTATGGAATTTGTACCATGTTGATATAAGAAGATTTGTGGAATTCAGAGGAAGAGGCTTTCAGAAAGGCATCTCTAGATCGACTGCTTGTTGCTCTGTCAAGAAAGGATATTTTTGTTTGTTTATGTAGAGATGGGCATCAAAAACTTTTTTTCAGCCATCGTCTAAAATTAAGCCAATGCTTTTTGGCTGCTGCTGAAAGTCATGGTAGGGAAAGATCTTACATTTGCAGTAGCTGGTGGTGCCAAATGTAGGAAAGAAGGGACGTGGTGGAAGAGAAGTGAGAACAGCCCTTACAGAGGATCCTTGGATGGATTTTCATGTTCTCAGTTAACGGACCTGCAGATGCCAACCCAAACTAGGTCAGCACAAACCAGCACGGCTCCAGAAGCAAAACAGTTGCACTGCTGGAGTGTAGTGTTTGATAGGTGAGTGTTCCCCAGCTGGCATGGACAGTGCACTCAGTGAGGACACTGACCATCATTTTCTTCTAGAGCCTCTTTGAGTTTAACTGAAATTTGGGCACACTGCAATTTTACTTCCTTGGCAGAACTGACAACTGGCTTTTCTGGGTTAATGGCACTGCCTAGAGATTTGAAAGTTTGATCTAGCACCTTTTAAAGACAAAAAGCATAACAAAGCTCCAGGAAGGTTTCTTCTGAATGAAAAGGATTATTCTGTTTAGTCCTGAGTGGTATTTGTCCCGTCCTTGTGTGCAGCTTCCACAAGAGGGTGCTCCCTGCCTGAGATAATGACCTGCGTTATCTGTCAGACGGAAACCTCTGTGTGTGCCACTAGTCGTGCTCTGGGCTTAGGGGACATTTTGCTGCTCTTGTCTTGGGGTGATTATTTTTCCTCTTTCAGAATAGATTTCGAGCCAAACTAACTTCTACTTTTGACCCAATTTTAAATCTTTATCTTCCATCTTACGTGGACACAGAATTATTGCTAATGTTTTTAAAGTTTTATTACATTATAATCTGCTGCCCTAATGAAACTGTTCCCAGCTCTGCAGAATGTAGTGTGTAAGCCCTTGCTTTTAAGGAGGGGTGTCCCCACACTGAAGCCTTTATTGTGTGCTGCATATGAGTATGGATTGCACTTACCACTGCATTTGCACTTACTACTGGGTTTCAGGGACACAAAGTATGTCTGAACTTAAACTCCTCTTGTTTCATACCTGTAATTGTCAGTAGTCTCCTCTGAATGTTTTAAGGTAGGCAGTGTTTTAATGAGCTGTCTTCCCTCTTTTGGGACTTGAAATATACTTTACCAATTCAAATGTAATTAATGTTGATCAGTATTTCTTCATATAGGCTTTTGTATTTCAATAATTAAATTACAGAAATTAAATAGCACCCATGTGAGTACGGTCCTTAGGCTTCCTGTTAAAAAAAGGCTTAAGTCAAGTATGACTGTTAAAATGTAGTATCTAGTTTAGTTACAAGTGCAGTGAAAATTTCAGTGTTACTCTCTAGCTTAATTGCTACTATGATCACTCAAAGAAAGCAGGTTATTCTCAGAATAGTAGGTCCATGTATTCAAAATTACTGGTCTTGATTCAGACTCAGTTCTAGAGGCATTTGGTGAAGCATGGCACTTCAGAAGCTTGGAGGGAGGATATTTTTTCTTCTTCAGTACCAAGAGGCTGATAGAAGAATAAAAAGAAAAAAATAGTAGGCAATATAGGAAAGGATATAGGGTTATTCACAGACTGATTATATTTTGCATGTTATGTGCTGCAGTGCTATCTCATCAAAAAATGCAGTATTTTAACTAAATAGCTCTATTAAAATGTTTTAAATGTTACACTGTAAGTATTCAGAAACCAACAAAATCCAATTTAAAAATGGTTAATAGGCCTTTGCTTATGAAGCAACAGTCTGTTTTTTTAAAGAAAGCAAAGGGTGCCATTCTAGGAGCACTTGCCATCACCCTGCACTGTCCCTGGGGCATGGTTTTGAGGGGTAAGAGATCAGTGCTATAAATGTCTTCAGGCAGAGTGAGCATTTTAGTCCAGATGATCCTAGGCATCTGCTTTAACTTCAGTGCTTCTGTAAAACAGGAGGAATAACTCCCAGGCTGTGCACTAAAACCCTTTAGCATCCATTTCTGGGGTTTATTCTCTAAAAATACTTAAGGTCATTATGGGAAGAATGTCTGTGTTTTGGACTCTTTTGGGTCTCATGAAGAATCCAAGTTGCTCAGAAATGTCACATGCTTTTGATCATTCATGGGAGCAGATGTGTTTGCATGGGGACCTGGAGAGCTCATAAAGTCAGGGACATGTGAGCTCCGGGCACAGCTGTTTGGCATGAGGCAAGCTGTGCAGTTGATGCTCACTGGTTTACACATTAAGTGTCTCAATTACTACAGGACACACTAACCTGCTCAGTTTCTTCTCTCCATTTAGCAACTTCTGATTGCTCATAAAGCTGTTTGTACAGTACAGATTTGGATTTGCCCTGAAATGAACTGAACAAATTACTACAGTATAGAGGGGTGTACCATTCTAGGACACTTTAGAATAGCAAGACTATAAGAAAGCATTGTGATGGTGACAATAAAGGATATAGGAGGATGTACAGTGTGCAGTACTTTTGGCTTGGATTATCAGTTTCTTCATGTTTATAGTTACTATTTGAATATAGTTGTCCAGCCTGTTTGTATAAGTTCAGTCAGGGAGGGCCTTTCCTGTGCTGACAGGTCTCTTTCTTCCCTTTCAGTGTGGCACAAGCTGACTACGTATGAGTACATCCTGCAGCAGCGTCCCCAGCAGCAGCCAGACAAGGTAGACAAGAAACAGGAGTCTTCTTCCTCCCAAGTGAGACCCAGTCAGGTACTCATCCTACTTTCAGTCCATTTCCCAAAAGCAGTCTTGCTCATTCACTGTGTAAACTTTGCTTCACTTTCTTGAGCTCTATATTTTAAAGACAGTTGCTGGAGATAAGACTTCAGAGGTACTTTGATGGAATTGAGTAGGATGTGAAGGAGTGCAAGGCCTGCCATTCCATGAACACTTTAGGTATAAGCAAGTACTGCTTTCAAAGGAATCAATCCCACTCACTCTCTTCCTCCACCATTTGTTTTGGGCCCTGCACTATCTTGTCTCTTCTGCCAGCACAGCTGTTCATTAGGACAGGGTGGGGGAACTCATCTGAGTAACAATAAATGTTATTAAAAAAATAGTTGGGCTGGCCCAGCTCTCTCCCATTCGGTTCACCAAGCAGTCACATAAATGCCTGGCTCAGCACGAATGAGGGTGACTGAAGAGTGGAAGAATCCTTTCCCTGAAAAAGACAGGACCATCTGTTTGGGTGGCACAGCACATCTTGGGAGTTTGTGTCATGACTTCAAATGTGACGGGCTCTAGGGCTGGAGAAACTGGGGCTAACCACTGAGCAGCTAATAATACCAGTAATTTAACCATGTTGAAAGTGAAAAGGACACCAGTTTTTCAGAAATTACCCTGATATCTGCTTTTCTTTTAAATGAGTCTGTATAATAAGGGTCCTTGTTATTATCACAATGTTAATCTATATCTCTGTAAACCGAGTTCTACAAGCTCTTAAATACTGCTAGATTCTGCAGAGGCAAATATATCAGGCTCTGAATTGATAGGTTCAGTATAATTTATTTTGTTACAAGGCAAAATAAATTATTGGATTAACTCAAATTTTGACTGGACACATTCTGTACTGACTTCAATAGGGGCTTGAACTAGAAACTTCCAGAAGTTCTTCCTAGTCTAAATTATTCTGTGAGTCTCAGTCATGTGTAACTTTTAATTTTATGCAAATAAGTTATCTGCTATACAAACAGTTTTATCTTTCATAAGAAATTAATTAAATACAAGCATCATCCAGGTATTGTCTGTAGAGATACTGGGATATCTCTGGATTCATCCATAGTTCTTCCCTATCAAAGCAAAGGGGAAAGTGAGCTCATTCAGTTTTGTATAATATGAAGTCCCTAGCTTTTCATATATATTTTTTACTGTTTTGGAAAAGTAGAACTTTCAGTTTAAACAGAGGTTTCCATAACAACAAAAATATTTGGCACTTCATTTCACAGAGCTTTGCTTACTATGCAAATTAAAACAATAATAAAGCATTAGCTCTAATCATCTAGTGACTGGATTTTAATTGATACTGGAAAGGTGTTTGAACAGGGGTGGACTTCACGTGCGTGTGCACATTTGGGATGTTGGCATTCAGTGATGTTCTCCTGTCTGCATTGGTTCTTACCTAGATATGTGTGAATATGATTAATTTGAAGCAGCAAGCCTGGAAGGAGCAGGGTGAAAAGGAATTTGGTGTTTCAGGATTACAGTTAGGACCTTGGGGAACGAGAAAGACTGGATGATGCCCAGTAACATTGTTAGGAAAAATGTTAACCCACCAGATTTTCCTTGTTTCTTACATAGCAACCAGAGATAAACACAAACAAATAGATTGGAGTAGGAGGACACCAAGTGACTTGCCTTTTGTATGCTGTGTTGAATACAGCCTTCTTTAGCTTGAACACTGCAACCCTTTGTAATTGATCCAACATGTTGTAAGCATAAAATGGAAATCATCCTCTTCCCACTTTTGTCTGAACTGTTCATTCATTTTAGGGACTAAGAAGAAATATGCATTTCCCCTTTAATGCTTGCTTTTGAGCCTTATTCAAGCTTGAGCGTTGGTTTTGGCTTCAGTTTTCAATGTTGGTCTGTGGTTAAGTCTTCGGCTATGTTCAGGTAAAGGATTCTTGTTCAGGATAAAGGATTCTTATGTACTTGTAGGATACACAAATTAAGAGCCCGAATTTTGCACATTTAAGTGGTTCAGATGTCACAAAAATGCAAAACAGTTGGACACATTGAGCCTTTGCTTCTATTAACATACCTAAAGCAGGATGTGCAAGTAACCATTTTTTTTCTGTAGTCATTTGCAGTCCAAAGAAATATAAACTAAGCCAAACCCTATGCTTAAATGCATAATTGCATTCATGCCAGAGAGCTGACTTTCATATGAGGCCAGCTGGGATGTGATTCTTCTCACATTCCTAAAGCTTTGAACTTGCTTTGGAAACTGATTCAGGTTGGTAGGGTTTGATTTTAAATACTAACTGCAGTTTTTACTCAGCTTCCCTTACATTTTCAGTACTCTTTCTTTCTTCCAATGTCAATGTAAGACAAACTTCGTATTCACTCTCATCCTAAATATTTGCAATAGACCCACTTTCCTTGGGACAAAAACTTTTTTTTCCTGTTCAGTTTTGCTTCCCCTCCAGGCAGACAGCACTTCAGGGCACTTCCTGACACTGAAGTGGTTGATAAGGGCAGCTGCACTGGGCAAGGAAGCTGAATCCATCCTGGGCTTGTAAACCATGGACCTTAGTTTGGTCACAGCTGAAATTTGGTGAACATAGCCAGATTTGCATGGGGGCAGAACTTGGGCAGTCTGTCCAACAGTCTGCTTTCAGCAGGAGCAACAGCTGAATCTTGGCAGTCCAGCTGCAAAGGATGGCTTGTCTTGATGCTGCAGTGGAAGGATTCTGAGTCTCCTGCTAAATGCCTGGGAGCAGAGCGAGGCTTGGGCTCTGTGCTGTGGCTGTGGCTTGTGTCACACTGTGAGAGAACATTGTATTTTCTACTGATTGAGTCTCATTTGTTTTCCTAATCAGCTCTAATGCTTTACTTTCATTTATGTGGCTGCTTTGGTTCTACATTATTTATAGAAGGCTGAAATGAACAAAATGGATTTAAAAAGGCTCTTTCATTCCCTGCTTGGAAAGAAATTGTCCATGTTATTCTCAAGATGAATCATTTATTAAACTCCCTTGAAATGCCAGTCCTGCAGTCCTGTTTATGTGCTGTGGACATTGAGTCCTGATTGTTTTCAGTAATTCTGTGCAGTGGGATGTCCTTTCAGCTCGTTTCAGCCTAATCTGCTTCCCTCTGAAAAGACCTGCATCTCCTGCCTGTCCACTCACAGTGACACGAGACTTGTGTCTGGTCTCCTCCCCTCATGACTCAGGTGCATGTGGCCTGAATGAAAATCTTGATTGTAAATGTCCCAAGGAGCTTTGAGGAGACATTTGTTTACACTTTGTGCTCAGTTGGTGATAAATGATGATCTGACTTGAGTTACAAGTTCCAATTAAAATACGTGTAGTAAATTTCTGCAGATTATTAATCTTGCATTTGGATAAATTTTTAAATCAGAAAGTCATATTTTTAAATACTAAACCAATTCCCTTCAGATGTTATGTTACCACCTCTAAAACAGGTGAAATTATTTTTTTTCTCTTTTTATTTGCCTTTCCTTTTTGTTCGTAACATCTGAAATGATTTCTTGTCTGCCACTGAATGTACAGCTCCATTAATTATTTTCTATTTCAGAGACTGCTGCTTTGTATATAAAGTTTACACTGCTTTTCTCACATCCTTCACTTTCCATCTTTACCTCTAGCAATATTGATTTTTTTGTGCCATTTACCACCCTGTAATTCAATATTGCAAAGATCTTCCGCAGCTCTTTGCGGCTGGCTTTCATTTTTAATGCCTTACATCAGGGAGTGTCATCACCAGGCTTCTCACTGCTCTGCTCTTTTGTTGATTGTTTATGAATTTGTTGAAGTGCAGAGGCCCTGGATCTCTCAGGAACCCATTTGTGCCATGTCCAACTTTGACTTCATTTTCTCAAATTTGCTGATCAGGCTGTTCAGAAAAATAGGTCTTCATGAGCTTGTTTTAGCTATTTTTGAAGCTAATGCCTATCACATTTTAAATCCTTCCATCTTAACCTAAAAGTTACTTTAAAATATCTTTATAGTCACTGCACAGTGAAATACCTATGAGGAAGTTCCCTTGATGGTTATTCAAGTTTAAGAGCAGCTGATAAGTGGTGTCAAGGTTCTTCTGAGCATGGTTTATCCTTTTTTGATAACAGGGCTTCATACCCTTCATCCCTTGGTACTCTGACCATCTTAACTGGGTGTTTTTGAGGGAGGACTGGGGTCCTTTCCTGTAATGCAGCACTTGGATTTAGGAGGTTTATTCTTAAAATGTTTCTGAAAATATGCAGTTTTCAAGTTCAGCTGTCATTACTCTGAGTTTGTCCATACCTGAGGCAAATAAGCAATATATCACACTCATTTTTAAACATCAGCAGGTCTTAGCCATACAGGGTCACACAAGAAATAGAAAATACTTTATGTTTTTCCTCTATATTTCATGCTTTCACCTTCCTCACCTCCATTTTGCATTTAAAAGACATTTTTTTGCATTCACTGCAGAGCTCCTCAGATTAAACTGTGTAACTAATGGAAGCTGTAAGCTTTAAGTGTAGTCCCAAGAAATGACTGAGCTGACTTCTGTAAGTGTGATTTGGTTTTGAGTCACATGAAATATAACTGGACTAAACAAATTAATCATGGACTTCTAATTGTGCCAATCTTGGTTTTCTATCTTCTTAAGCAGCAGTTTACTGCTGTGCTACTTGTAATGACAAAAGATGTCTGGCATGAGGAGAAAGAGTGCACCTGTAATGAAAATCCATCTTCTCCCCTCTGTGTTTGTATTAGTCTGAAAATATTATTTTTTATTTTTTTTTTCCAGGAAGCAGACTTATTGTCAGGTAATCCTGGCTATAGAGACCCTGGAATTCAAGTAGAGGAATTCTCATCAGTAACTTCAAGAAAAAGGTGAGAAAAGTTGAGGATAAGATTCTCCCACCAGCATGTGTGGTGAATGGGAAATTGCTATCAAGGTCACTGATGGGCCCTAAGACAAAAGTACTAAGAAGGATAGGGAGCACCAGTGTTTGCAGCAAGGTATGGTGAAATCTTCGAGTTTCAGGAGGGTAGATCCCTGTAAGAATACTTGTCTTTCCACTCCTGGGAAAATATAATTCCTATAATACTCTCATTAGGCTGTTTTATATTAAATATTTTTCTATTAATTGTTTTATATTAAAATTACATTAAGTCTGGCTGATTTGTCCTGTGACTCCTCTGTTGAGCTCATTATAATTACATGATTTCAGGTTGTGGAGAAATGTATCACAGCAGTTGCAAGTTTATTACACAGGCAAGCACTCATGGGTAACAGGATCCTTGTTTATTAATTACTCCTGTTCTGTTAACTTGTGTCCCTAATTTCCTTTTTATTTTGCAAATTGTGCAGGAAGAATTCCCCTGCAGTTTTGCTGTGTGAGGCAGGGGAGGCCGTGATCAGCCTGATCTGTACGTGCAGGCAGAGGGCATCAGACTTAAGTCCTGTCATAGGGAATCACCTTGTATGTCTGCTGTGTTTTAGCTTTCCAAAGCTCTATGTCCATAACCAAGAGAGTGACCCCAAGCAGAGCTCATCCCCTGAGTCCTCATCTCTTCACTCTGTGTCCCCTTCCCAGGTAAGGAGGATTTTCCACACACCAACCTGCTGCTGGCACCCATGCAGGTGCTTGGGCACGCTTACTCTAGAGCAGGCTGTGCTTACCCCCTGCTCACACAGACTCTGCCTCCCCTCAGTGTGTGGCTGCAGGTGTGGCTGTGCCCTGCAGTCACCACATCTGGGTGATGTTCTCCTGTCTCTGCTCACAGGCATGGTCAGAGCTATCCTACAGTTCCCTCATAAGCGCACAGCTGTAACACAGCTGTAATCCAATGCCTTGCTGCCCCAGTGCAGCTCAGTGACTCTGGCTGTACAGCTTTGTTGATGTAAGAAGCTCTGCATGTTTCTGTAGAGAAAAATCCAACAGTTTAAATGTTCAGATAAAGCACCTGCCCAGGGAAAGATGGTGTGTGTGGATATGGAGCTTGAGTGTATGGAACAGCTCTCCAAAGTGTTGGACTGGACTCTTGATATTCATGTGTCTGCATCCAGATGCTCTTTCCTCTTGCTCAAATGGCAGGTGGTGGTGCTTTCCCTGTTTCCTCCAAGCTTATTAATCAGCCTTGCCATCTAGATGGTAGGAAAAATTAGTTTTCACCTGTACTATATTTGGGACAAGGACTGTCCCTTTCTTGGGACATCCTGTGCTGTGTGAGTTTTGGTCCCCTCTTCTAGTGTGGCTTTACAAATGCAAGCAACCAGTAAAACCCCCAGATCTATGAGACAACAGCTTAAAGGTACCTACACAGAGTCACTGTATGCAGATAATGTGGGTGTGTGTTCATTAAATGCCTGTTCTCTATTACTGCTTTGTAGTAGTCTTAAATGGTAAAATATTCTTGGACTTTGGTTATACCTAGTGCTTGTTATTAAAAGTAGGAAGAATTAAAAAGAGGTAACAAGTGAAAAAATTGTCTCCTTACTTTGGGCTGGTGAAGTGACTTCCCTTCTCTTGGGCCACTTGCTTTCACAGCAACAAAAGAAAAGGAGAAAGAAAATGCAGAAAGCTTCTTCCTCAGCAATGGACAGAGGATCTAAAGCACATGTTTCTCCTCAACCCTCATTCTCAACCTCAGATCCCCCAGGTGAGAGTGCACCAGTCAGCTTCTCTGCTGAATCTTACATAAATATATGTATGATTTGCTTTAACACTAGTGGATCAGCCATAACAGAGTTCCTGGGCTTGTTGATGTCTTTGTGGGGCTGAGAGATCTCTCTCCCCTTAAGGTTTTTCTCCCTTTATTTCCATCTGCAGAGTTCCCAGCCACAGCTGCTGCCACCTCACCTTCCCACAGCCTTCACCTCTTAGTGCCAGCTTTTCCTCTGAGAGCTGCTGTGTCCCCCAGCAGCATGGGCCTCATCCAGGCAGCAGGACCCCCAGCTGACTATCACTCAGAGTCTGCTGAGTCCATGGATGAGATTCCTCTGGCTCAGACTCGCCTTGGGAGCCCTGTCCTTCAAGGGCCTCCTAAGAATAACTCAGGCAACTCTCAACATTATCACTTGTCCACAGACAATCCCAGAGGAGTCAGGAAGAAGAATCTGTATTCTGAGCACAAGGTCAAAAGGAGAAGCTGCCAGCAGGACAGACGTGTGGAACGAGACCTGGAACTTTTTTCTAAGATTCCTGCTGTGTTTGTAAGTAAGAGCAGTGGAGAACCTCTTGTCCCTCAGCCCCAGCCCAGTGAGAGCACATCCGAGCCTGACCACAGAAAATGCACCAGCAAGCAGCATGTGGGCACACATGATCCATGCTCAAAGGACATAAGGACAAGCACCACAGCGGCCTAGGGATCATCCTTCCAAAGCCATGGCCTTTGGGAGCAGCGTTAGTGCTGTGCAGAGGCCTACAGTACTCACCCCTCACTGTGCACGTGCTGTCAGGCTGCAGTGGGACATTTCTCATCCTCAGCCAAAGGCAAGAGGCAGCAAGGTGGCAAACCTGAGGTAGACTTGTTGCTCAAGAGAGCTCAAGTGCTTTCTCTGGGAAAGGGCCAACCCCTCTTGGCCCTCTGCTCACTGGTACTGCAGTAACTTCCCAGCAGAGTGTGTGGGGAAGAATAAGGCTGCACCTCTGCCATTCCCTGCGCGCTGAAAGCTATATTTCCATCTGCCTACACCCTGTCAGTCTTTGGATCATGCTCAGGGGCTTCAACAGGTGGTCAGGGAGTAACCTCAGGATTGCCCCATCCCTTATACTGCTTTCCACTGTGCACCCTCAGACCCAGTCTGCCACCAGAATGTTCTCTGTAAGGCAGCATAGTTTGACCTGCTCCCCCTTCCCAGCAGTCCAGGGTGCCCCATGCTGCAGCATTCTCATCAGAAGTCTTGGGACTTCTGGAGAGCAGGCCCTGAAACCTTTCCAATTCCTGGGCTGCCAGATCTGTATTAGTGCACAGCCAAGCCTGGGGTGTGTGTAGTACAGAAAGATCCTACAGCAGACAGTGGGGCACATGGCCAGTGCCTTGAGCCACAGCACCCTGTGCTGGGGGTGATCTGCAGAGAGCTGGGCTGCCATCCTACAGCACCTGTGCTCTCCTTGCCCTCGTGGCTTCCCCAGGCAGCATGCCCCATTCCAGATTCCTGGCTGAGTGCTGAGGCTGGGCTTCCAGCAAGCCCAGATCTGCCTAGCAGCCAGCTAATCTCAGAGCCCAGACAGCAACTACACACACCTCTCCATGGGCTTTGCCACCAGCATGGTCATGTCTGACAGGATTTGGCACAGCCCTGAGCAGCAGCAGTGGCATGGCTGGATGCACGTTTCCAGACACATCACCAGCACAGCACACTGCTGGTGCTGTGAACAAACAGGTGCACCAGCAAAGAAAAGGAAGACAGGGGAGTCTTCATCACCCTTCCAAATGTTTTGATGCATGGAAGGCACAACTGACCTTTCTCCAGGTTATGGTGGGTACAGGTTAGGGAAGGAGAGGACAAAGCACGGTGCTGTGAGAGTCGAGCTAAGCTATTCTCCCCTTGTCTAGCTCAGTCTGCAAGCATTCCTTGCAGCTGGGTCAGAGCAGGAAAGGGGATCTGGGGACAAAGGCTCTTTGGGCACAGTCAACACAGGACAGGCAGGCTGGACTCCCAGCCTTGATGGGAGACAGTAGCCTGGGAGAAAGACCTGGAGGTGTTTTAAAGGGCTGCCTTACCACCCTTCTCTTGTCTGATTTTTGTCTCCTGAAAGAACTGGGATGAGGAGCTTTGATTCTTCATCAAATTACACAATCTATTGATCAGAAAAAGCGAAGCCTCGTGTAGCTGTTGAAGTAATTTTGTGTCAGTTTGGAGGAAGGGCTGGCCTGTGGTCACACTCCTTGCAGCTTCCCTGCCTGCTGCAGGGCAGTGCCTGTGGCCAGTGGTGCCCTCTGGCAGTGTGACCCTCTGGAAAAGCAGGTGAGTGTGGGCCAGCAGACATGACACTGGCTGTCTGCAGAGACCAGGGCATTGCTCACCAATGGGTCCCACTTAGACAAAATCCTCCCTATTGTTTCTCCTCATGTCAATTGTCGTCCAAGGAAATTACATCCTGCAACAATGCTGGGCTTATGGTTTTCCAAGGCCAGCTGTCCCTCCACCAGAAAGTATTGGTAATTCCTCTTCAGTAGATGCCCCTGAGCAGACCTTGTGTGTTTCCTCACTCTGTCCATGTAGAATCAGTCCCAAAATCATGTATGGAGCTCTTTGGTAGCTCTGGCCACAATAAAATTTTCTATATTCTTTGCTAAATAGTTTCCTCCTTTCTTTTGCAGCAATCCCTGGCTCTTCCCCATTGAAGATCCCCAGGTTGTTTGGTTCATTTCTCCCTGAGCCTCTGGAGTTCCAGAAGGGCTCAGCACTGTAATTGATATGGGGGTGACAGCAGTCTCCTCTCCACAGGGTCTTTCGGTGGTTTGATGGGAGTGTCTTCCCTGAGGGATAGGGATCAGACCACCTTCTCCCTCTGTAACCCAGCCTGGTTTTTGTGCTGGAGCAGGGTGAGCATCAGAGGGAGGAGGCCCAGCCAGCTCTGCATTGTGCTGCAGAAAGGCTGCTGTGCTTTTGGGCTGAGGGGAGCTGGGTTTCCTGGGCTATCAGATGTCCAGGGACATCCTTCTGCTGCTTTCAGCTGGAACATTTGCTCCACTCTGCTGAATAACTCAAGGCTGCCAAACATGCAAGGCTGTGTCTGTGTCTGTGCATTGGAGCAGCTGGATGCTGAGCCAAGAGCCAGGCTCCAGCAGGACGGGCTCCCAGCACTGCCAGTCTTGGATTCTGATCTCCTAAACCTCAGGGGCAGCAGGAGGATCGTGTGTGCCACATGGTGATTGAAATTGGCTGGGGTCTGTGTTTTTGCAACAACCCCATCCAAAGAGCACTGTTGAAGGTGCTCAGTGAGCACCCAAGAGTGAAAATGTTGGGGCTGAGATGGTTTTAGCTCCTGGACTCTCCTTCCCAACCTTGCTTTTATCCTCCTGGGCCTTTAATGTTGATACCCTGCAGATTCAAGTGCCAATGGCATTTCTGCTGCTCTGCATGAGGAATGTCCATAGCAGACCCATGGCAGTAAGCAAAAGGAACAAGTCACATTGGGGTGCTGCTGCAGAGTCCAGCATGTGGGGAGAGCAGTCCTGGGCTCAGCACCAGAGGGCTGCAATTACCACAAGCTGCAGCCCAAGACCGTAAGAGAACTGGGTTGAGGTCCTGACAGCAGAAGTCCTGATGCCTTCAGCTCCCCATCACTGCAGACACATTGAGGTCTGACAAGCACATTCTCCAGCACTGAATAAAAGGATTTTGCCACAGCGTGAACTCTCCCATCAGCTGCAGGCAGTGCCCTGGACCAGCTGTTTCCACCACAAGACACTGTGGCTTTCTATTGGGAAGAAGCAATGATTTGCAGGATGACAGCTTTCCACAGTCCTTTGAAATCATGTCATGGTGCCTGGCCATTGTCTGGCAGCTGTGCCAGGCCCCGCAGTGCCTGCTCCAAGCCTCCGCCTTGGCACGGGATGCGCGTCGTGCTTACTTTTGTCTTTGAGCCTGACTCAAGTTTCTTTGTTTCCTCTTTGAAGTCAAGGGGACCTTCCTTTGGGAAATGATTTGTAGAAGTCTGTCCCTGCACTGCTTTTGACACGTCCTGAGAGCATCTCAAGGAGCTGCGGGGTGGGGGAAAGGAAGTCCCTGCCAGAGGATGGAGCGTTCGCCCCGCTCCTGTGCCCGGTGCCGTGCATGGCACGACGGCAGCTCGTGCTCGGTGGCACGGACCGGGCACGGACCGGGCACGGCCCGGTCCCCATCGCCCCGCTCAGCAGCCGCAGCTAAGCCCCGCTAATGCCTTGTGGACACGCTGTTGCTGGGGTGACCGTGTACATATTGCACAACCTCCGAAACACTTCCCTCTGTTTTGTAGCAACTCGCGCTAGAGAAACGGCGTTCCCGCATAACCTCATCCCACCCCAGACACAGCCGAGCCAGAGACTCATTCCTGAAACGGGATGAGTCCCGGGAGGCTGCGGTGCCCAGCCTCGGGGGAAGACACGGGCAAAGGGGATGAGGGTGAGCACAGAGGGTGCCCGGAGGTTGTGCTTGTGGCCTCGTGCAGTCTCTGAGCTGAACCCTGAGCAGTCACAGCCCTCCGAACCCCGTCTGAGGGTGGGGGGAAGGACACGGTCCTAGCAGGAACCAGCCCAGCAGCCGAAGCTGCACCTCGGGGATGCAGCCGTGTGTGAGCCCCGCAGTGTCTGGGGTGAGCGCTGGAGTGTTCAGCTCATTATGTCCCTGGGGCAGGAGACAGCCTGGGAACATCGTGACCCTGATTAGAAGGGAAAGTCCCCCGGCGAGCTGAGCACTGATCCGTGTGCATGCTCCTCCACCACATCACAGGACCTGTGCAACCTCCCTGTCAATTCCTGCCCGTGCCGTGGGCTGCGGACCAAGTCACAGCCTCCTCCCGGGCTTCCTTTTCCGGGCTGCGTGAGGAGCAGCGGGAGCGGCCAAGGACCATGCTCCATCCCAACAGGGCTGTCATGGTGACAACAAACGCACAACAAACCCCAGCCCTTAGGAACCGAAACCTGACCTGCTCAACCCGACCCCGTGGGCAGCTCACCAGCCGTGGCTCAGAGCCCCCTTACCCGGCTCTCCCCGTGTGCCATTGCTTGTCTCCTCGGGCTCTGCAGCCCCAGGACCAGCTGCAGCTCCTACAGAAGAGCTGCCGTGTCCAGCTCCTCCTCCACCTGCTGCCGGCTCGGAGGATCCAGGCTTGCCCACCACTGCCAAGGCCTGCCTGATGCTCCTGCTGACATTACCTGGCTCCTGTCTGGAGCTGTCAGCTGGAAGCAGAGCCAGACACCTGCTTTGGTGGGGAGCTGCAGGGCAAGCTAAGGATAAGGCTTTACCTTCATCAAGACTTAACCATCCTCCTCTATGTGGCAATAGTTATTCCCTTGTCCTTAAAGCAGAGAGTTTATAACTTGTCCCCACCTTCTGCAGGTGGGATGACACACCTGGGTCCTTACTGGTCTGCAGAGAGACTGGTTGAAATTCCCACTTCACGGCCAGGAACTGTCACCTCTGACCCTCTGCACTTTGGAACCTGCTTTCATATTGCATGAGAAGCAGGAAGAAAGTGTCATCAGGAGAGTCCTCCTGGTGCCACCTCCTCTGTGTAGCTCCCAGACTCTCTGGCCACGTCTGAGCTCTACTAGGACAAACCAGAGAGAGGAAAAACACCTCTTGGAGAGATCTGCCTGGACTCTGGCATCAAATGAGCTTCCACACTTGCTCTTCCCACTCTGGACTGTCCCCTCCATCATGTCCTTGCCACCCTGCTTCTGGCTGGGCTGTGAAAGAGCAGCTCTTGTGGAGCCTCCGATGGAGGGACCACAGGCTTGGTTGGGGGGCAAAATAAAGTGGGGTCCTTCATGTGTCTGACCAGCTGAGCCCACCCAAAGTGGCCAGATGCTGTGACACACCTGAGGCCTCTGGCAGCAGCTGTGGCACTCACCTCTGAAGTGACAGGTTAAGTTAGTGATCCCAAACTCCCAGAGCTGACTGGTGGTTACCTCTGGAGGTCTCCAGACCCTAATCCAAGACAGAATTAGTGTGAATGGGTTGCTCATGGCTTTGTCCAGTCAAGAACTGGCAACAATGTCCCAAGAGAGAACAGGTACCCCTCAGCCAAGAGGGGAAGGTTGTTACTGGGGCTGTGCTCCACAGCAAAATGCTCCAGGTGCACAAGCAGAACTGATGCCCTGGGACAGCTCTGTGTCTGTCCTTAGCTCCTCTGCACAGGGACCGGGGCAGACAGACCACAGGGTACCAAAGACTGTTGTTTGAGCCCCTTCCCAGTTCCCAAAGCTGCTGATTTGTCTGCAGGACCCCCAAGGCAGCAGCATATCGCACACTGTGGGTGCTGGCTGTGCACAGCTCCTGCTGGTGCTGCAGTTGATCATCCACGATGCCCTGCTCCCACCAGCGCGATGCCAGCCGAGCACAGGGATCAAAGCAGGCTGTGGGCAAACAGCTGAGGTGGGGCAGTGAGTAAGAGATGTGGGTTGTGCTGTGGCTCCATGACAACCACAATATTTGGGTACTGCCTCAGCTCGCAGCACCCACCGGGAGCCCTGTGTGCGGTCATGCTCTGGGCTGCCAGGGTGGGCAGTGCTGGCATGTGGCTGCTCCAGACACGTCTCACTGGGCCACAGGTGCTCAGCACAGCCCCTGACACACCAGAACGGTTGGCATTGTCTCCTCAGCCTGGGCACCTGTCACCCACCAAGGGGACAGTTCCTCTATGTGGGGCGGGTGAAAGGGTAAAGCACAGCAGGGGTGTTGGGGAGCGCCTGTGCTGAGGGAGTGGTGGAGAGACCTTGTGGCTTTATGCTGGGGCCTCGGGGGGTGCTAAAGGGACCTTGTGGGACAACGCTGAGGCTTTGTAGGGTGATGGAGAGACCTTGTGGGGTGCAGGACAGACCTGGTCAGGTGCCGGTACGGTCTCATGGGGAAGCAGAGAGGCTTCATGGGTTGGTGGAGGGTCCCAGAGGTGGTTCGGGTCCTCTGCCCGGGCTCCGTCTCCCCGCCCCGAGGGC